GGGGGCGGGGTGAGAAAAATAAATTAATGTTAAGTGATGAATAGTTCACCTGCAGCGAACCTCCGCCGCCCCCCAGTGTGGAGAAATTTTCTCCAGGAGGGGGGTATCAGCCCCCTTCAGCCCCCTTCAGCCCCCTTCAGCCCCTTTCAGCCCTGAGGGGCCACTCAGAGGGGGCGAGCGTCTTGTTTACTGCTAGAGTGAGTAATTGATCACAGATGTCGTATGCGTAATCAAGTGACCTCTGCTCCTTGCAGGGGTGTTGCAACGTGTATTTTTATAAGAGACAGTACATCTCTTACTTAGCAGGACAATTAAGGAAAATCCTGCTCCCACTTTATTACCATAGTAAAGATAGTGTACATTGTTGTTTATGATTAAGACAGCAAGAAACAAACATTCTGCTTTGCTTCATCGAGGAGGTGACAAGGATGCAAGGTACTAGGTCAGCGTTTTTTTTTTTTTTGTGCTGGGGCCACTGACGGGATGGAGCCCTGTAGCGTCGGGCAGATTACTTTTGACTCTAGAGAGAGTCACACTGACGCCAGGATAACCAGCAAAGGACACTGATCTGTGCGTTAGTGTGAATAAAGTGTCTCACACAACACAATAAACACTTAGAGAAGTGTGATCAGCTTCTCTGGAGTTTACCTGGAGTTTACCTGGAGAGAGTTTCGGGGGTCAACGCCCCCGCGGCCCGGTCTGTGACCAGGCCTCCTGGTGGATCAGCGCCTGATCAACCAGGCTGTTGCTGCTGGCTGCACGCAAACCAACGTACGAGCCACAGCCCGGCTGATCAGGAACTGCCTTTAGGTGCTTGTCCAGTGCCAGCTTGAAGACTGCCAGGGGTCTGTTGGTAATCCCCCTTATGTGTGCTGGGAGGCAGTTGAACAGTCTCGGTCCCCTGACACTTATTGTATGGTCTCTTAACGTGCTAGTGACACCCCTGCTTTTCATTGGGGGGATGGTGCATCGTCTGCCAAGTCTTTTGCTTTCGTTAGTGAGTGATTTTCGTGTGCAAGTTCGGTTACTAGTCCCTCTAGGATTTTCCAGGTGTATATAATCATGTATCTCTCCCTCCTGCGTTCCAGGGAATACAGGTTTAGAAACCTCAAGCGCTCCCAGTAAAATTGAGGTGTTTTATCTCCCCTTATGCGCGCCGTGAAAGTTCTCTGTACATTTTCTAGGTCGGGAATTTCACCTGCCTTGAAAGGTGCTGTTAGAGTGCAGCAATATTCCAGCCTAGATAGAACAAGTGACCTGAAGAGTGTCATCATGGGCTTGGCCTCCCTAGTTTTGAAGGTTCTCATTATCCATCCTGTCATTTTTCTAGCAGATGCGATTGATACAATGTTATGGTCCTTGAAGGTGAGATCCTCCGACATAATCACTCCCAGGTCTTTGACGTTGGTGTTTCGCTCTATTTTGTGGCCAGAATTTGTTTTGTACTCTGATGAAGATTTAATTTCCTCATGTTTACCATATCTGAGTAATTGAAATTTCTCATCGTTGAACTTCATATTGTTTTCTGCAGCCCACTGAAAGATTTGGTTGATGTCCGCCTGGAGCCTTGCAGTGTCTGCAATGGAAGACACTGTGATACATTGTGAACAATAAAAAAAATCTTGTGGAACATAGTGTACCAGTGTGCGTTTCCTAGACAATGGAAGACGTGGACATCCAAGGACACTTCGCTTCTATCAAGTCCCGATACTGTCGAAGGTGTTGAAAAACACCTATTTCACGTTACAAAGACAAGGTATTTTACGAATTTCTTGTAGATCGGGGATTGCGAAATTCTTGAGCCCAAAAGGGGTTTTTAATCCACCTAAATGGGGCAGTAAGGTGGGGGCTTTTAGCCCAAACAAAAAGTATTCGTCGCCATCATCGAATGAAATATGCGACATAACACCCCCTAGGGGGTATATATTTACAATTGATCCTTGACACCCACTGTTGTGATTTTTTCGACAGATCTAACCTCGTCTGCGGGGACGGCGTGTAGACGATTTCGTCATTTACACTAAGTTTTCTTAATAATTAATCTTAGCGGTAAGGCCAAATTTCAACAGTTCATTGGGGGTACTTTCCTTTTGGGTACGTCATGGTTTCATCCTGATTCTATTCGGGTACATCCATGATAATCGTGGTATCCGAAGATACTATCAGGGGTCTCTCCTAGGAAATTAAATTTGGTACTTCCTGGGTATTTTGTTGTCCAAGCAGGGGTAGATCCTGGGGGGTAGTACCAATAGACCCCTGGATGTTTCAAGAAGGGTTTAGATTAATACCTGAAGTCATACCAATCGCCTGGCTTTGGGTTCCAGTCGATTTACGGCTGCCAACAAAGCCTGGTTATCAAACCCATCCACCATGAGGGCCCGGTTTCAGACCGGCCGCGGGGGTTGACCCCCAAACCCCTCCAGGTTACTCCAGTTATTAAAACCCGGGTGCATCTGGGGAATCCTGGGCATTATCAAGGGGAACATTCAGGTACTATACGGGGGATAACCGTTTTGCTATCAGGATACTACCTGGTTACAAACTAGGTAATTCAGGGACTATCAGGAAACTATCAAAGATATTTTCCACTTACATCCAGGCATAAAATGATCAATAATTAAATATAAGCATCAGAAATGAACGATAATTTTTAGAGAGTTTTCTCAGGGGGATCAAAATTTCTTACTTTTCCCCATAAAAAGGTCGGGGGTCGTCTTTTCCCCCCATATTTTTTCTCTGTGTGGTCGATGAATCAGCAGGGACCTTTTTTTTAAAAGTAGAAGGATACGATCAGTGATTTAGGAATTACATAGTCTTCCCCGGACTTTGATAAAGTTTTCATAGTCTTCCCGGGCTGGATATGATTTATCATAGCTTTCCAGGACTCTAGATTTGGTTTAAAAAAACTTTGGCCATCGGCCCATATAAGTCCATACGACAAAAAAATTTACATGTCCATACTGACAAAAACGACATGCCCAACTGAAAGAAATGACTGCCCTACGACAAGGCTGGAAGGCAAGAAAAAAATATATAACTTTTCTCCCCAGATAAAACCACGAAAGCGAGCGCTCACTGAAAAAAATAGAGAAAATAGCTATTTTTTTCAGTTTTATGGTGCATTACGGATGTATACCACAGTTACCCCGGGACTACACTACGTTTTCTTTAACATGAGTCCCAAGGCTGGGATAAGAGGATGGTAGATTGTCTCTTATCCTCTAGCGATAACGGTCCCTCAGGCCGACCTCGGTATTATGCCAAATATTATTCATTCTGAAGTATTTACCATGTTTCTATATTATTTATATTGTTTATTATGTCATATTAGATCAACTGCGATAGGTAAATAAGCCTTAATGTTTATATTAGCGAAATTACGAAACATTTTGCCGAGGCGAGAGGAATGCTTAGTCAGCAGTCTTCTCAGAACTTCCTGAATGCTTCTAGACAGCCAAATCGTGAATTATTATGTTTGGAAGAATAATAAAATAAAAAAAAATCTGAAAATTTACATATGAGCAGGCATGCTACGGTGGAGGAGTTTCCATATGTTATAAATGACTATAATTCCGTGTAGGAACATAGTACAACAATAATATTTATACCAGAGTGTTGCCAAAGTGTTAAGCTATTTTTCATAAGCGCTTGTCACACTATCTGGACTTTGTCACTTACCATTGCATCAGTGCTCACGTAGCAGTATGTTGGTACCTGAGTGTTAGCCACCTTACATCTGCTGCTGTCAGCGTTCACCTTGCAGTAAGTAATAATGTTGGTAGAATTACCGACAGTATGTAAAGCAAAAGGACACAAGTGCAATTAATGTGACATTTTTATTGTGGCAACATTCACTCTCTAGGGAGCACAACTGTCCTGACCCCCTGCACCTCTAAGTTTACATTCTATAGTGTTGCTGCATACCAATGTTTCCTGTAGTGGCGATCGACACCATGCCTAAACCTTCCATACAGGATGGGTATGGGGTGCATAATAAACATATTAAACTAACTAACCTAACCCTTCTAGGGTAGGGTAGGTGCCTGAGCCCGAGCCTTTAGCTCATAAGACTCATTCCCATTAGTCCCCTTGGGGCGGGGATGGCAGACCAGAGAGGCCTAGCTTGTGGCTAGGCCTGGGGACAGTTAGTCCCAAAGATGAGGAGGTACTTGTGCCTCCTCCCATGGGAGACTTAGGTCTCAGACACTCCCTAAAGAGGGAGCCAAGGCCGGGCCACCACTTGGAAAAGGCCCGGGCCGGGAGAATACCGGTTAATCTTTAATAATAATAATAATAATCCTGTAGTGGCTTAGTTAAGAACAATTTATCGAGCATTGCAGTACTAGGTAGCTTCTTTGGCTACCCGAGATGGCTTTTTAAGTGGAACATGCTAGAGTTTCATCTATAAACATAGTAAGTTTGTGCTGATTTGCTTGTGCACAGAGTAAACATTCGTCTGTCATAAGTGTGCTAGAAGTGTTAAGTGCTGCAGGTTTGTTGTAACTATTTGCACGAGTTGATTTGGCTGGCCCAGGACATTGTGCAAGCATCAGTACCTACGTAGGCTTATTATGAGAGGAATGCCTGGTGGGTGACCTTGAGAATGGCACTATAGCATGCTATTTACACCCATACTGCATGTGTCTAGTGAGGTGAATGTCCCTTCCTCGACTTCCCTATTCACGGGTATCCCTTAACTCATCGCCATTAATGTCATATGGGATAAGGGCAGGTTTAGCCGATCCAGGCTGAACAGCACTCCAAGCCAGCCAGTTTACCTGGAGAGAGTTCCGGGGGTCAACGCCCTCACAGCCTGGTCTGTGACCAGGCCTCATGGTGCATCAGAACCTGATCAACAAGGCTGTTACTGCTGGCTGCATGGAATCCAACGTACGAGCCACAGCCCAGCTGGTCAGGTACCGACTTTAGGTGCTTGTCCAGTGCCTGCTTGAAGACAGCCAGGGGTCTATTGGTAATCCCCCTTATGTATGCTGGGAGGCAGTTGAACAGTCTTGGGCCCCTCACACTTATTGTGCTGTCTCTTAACATGCTAGTGAAACCCCTGCTTGTCATTGGGGGTATTACCTGGAGTTTACCTGGAGAGAGTTTCGGGGGTCAACGCCCCCGCGGCCCGGTCTGTGACCAGGCCTCCTGGTGGATCAGCGCCTGATCAACCAGGCTGTTGCTGCTGGCTGCACGCAAACCAACGTATGAGCCACAGCCCGGCTGATCAGGAACTGGCCTTTAGGTGCTTGTCCAGTGCCAGCTTGAAGACTGCCAGGGTCTGTTGGTAATCCCCCTTATGTGTGCTGGGAGGCAGTTGAACAGTCTCGGCCCCCCCTGACCTTTTTTGTATGGCCTCTTAACGTCCCTGGGTTGACCCCCCCGTTTTTTCTTTGGGGGGGATGGTGCATCGTCTCCCAAAGTTTTTTGTTTTCGTAGTGGGGTGTTTTTCCCGTGTGCAAGTTGGGAAACTAGTCCCTCTAGGTTTTTCCCCCGGTGTAAAAATCATTTATCTCTCCTCCTGCTTTTCCGGGGAATTTACGGTTTTAAAAACCTCAAGCGCCCCCAGTAATTGGGGTTGTTTTACCCTCCGTTTTGCGCGCCTTTAAATTTCCTTTTACTTTTTCCTGGGTTTGGAAATTTTCCACCTCCCTTAAAAAGGGTGCTGTTAGATTGCAGAAAAATTTTCCGGCCGGGATAGAACAAGTCCTGAAGAGTGTCATCAGAGCTTGGCCCCCCTTTATTTAAAGGGTTTCCCCATTACCCAAACCTGTTTTTTTCCCTAGCAGATGCGATTGATACAATTTTAAATGGTCCTTAAAGGTGAGACCCCTCCGCATAAACACTCCCAGGCCCCTTTTGAGTTGGTGTTTCGTTTCTTTTTTTGGGGGCCAAATTTTTTTTTTGTACTCTGATGAAGATTTAATTTCCTCTTTTTTTTACCATATCTGAGAAATTGTTTTTTTCTCATCGTTGAACTTCAATTTTTTTTCTGCAGCCCACGGGAAAAGGTTTTTGGTTGGGGTTCCCCCCGGGCCCCCTTGAAAGTGTCCTGAAATGGAAGACCGTCATGCAGTTCGGGTGCATCTGCAAAGGAAGCCCCGGGTTTGCTGTGGCTGACATCCTTGTCTAGGCCCGGTTTATGAGGGAGGAAACCCAAGATGGGAGCTAGAAACTGCCCCTTTGGGGAACAGAGCTTTTCCCCTTTGTCCCTGGGATTTTAACCCCTGTTGACAAATTACTCTCTGGGGGTTCTGTTAGTGAGGAAATTATAGACCCCATCGCCCAATTTTTCCCCTGTTTTTCCCCTTTTAGCGCCCCTTTTTTGTGCCTAAAACGCCATGGCCCACACTTGCCCAAAGGGCTTTTCCCAAAGCCCTTGTTTTATATTACATCTGCATTTTTTTTTGTCTTCTAGTGAAATTTTAGGACCTTGTCGTAGTGTTCCAGTATTGAGAAAGGACGGGGAGGGGACTGTTCAAAAACCCTTTTTTCCCCGGGGTTTGTGTAACTGATGGGTTTCTAGTTGGGGGGTAAATCTTGTTCTTAGGAAAAAAATTTCCCCAAAAAAATTATTTGTTTATTTCTATAATGAAAATTAAAACCTGATTAATACATTCCCTTTTGCTCTAAAGATTTTTTTTAAAAGAAGTAAACCCCGACATTTGGAAGCTGAGGACAGGGGGGGAAAAACCCCATTTTTTTTTTTAATGTGGTACAGGAAACGCTAATGTAATGTGCAAAATTTTTTCTTTCATGGGTTATATTGGGCTTTAAAAACCCCTTTAAATTTTGATCTGAAATTGTTGGGTTTGCAGTCCTGCTAATGTGAGCATTTAAACAGATTTGGGGCCCGGACAGCTTCCGAACCACAGCTAAGTTATGTCTATTTTTTGTTTAAATTTTGGTTTGCATGCAGCCAGCAGCAACAGTCTGGTTGATCAGGCTCTGATCCACCAGGAGGCCTGGTCACAGACCGGGCCGCGGGGGCGTTGCTCCCCGGAACTCTCCAGGTAAACTCCAGGTATTTAGACAGGGGTTCTGTACATGACAGTAATCTCCAGACTAATTGGCGAGTGTTATGTTTTTAAATTCTCCTTCTCTTACCTAAATGTGTTTATGTAATCATTTATTAATTTTAATATTCAGTCCACAAATTTTATATTAATGTTTACCATAATTCCTGGTAATGTATATTTCATTTGAAATTAATATAGGTCAAGAATGACTTGTCCGATATGACAGTAGTAGGTATCGAAGGGGAACATTTTTTGTACCTAGATGTCCTAAAATTTGTACTCGTCTCCATAACTTTGGTATGTATCTGATGAGTTACATCCAGATAAATTTAATTTTCCACAGGAGGTTTGTTGCATCGTCTCCCGAGTCTTATGAGTGATTTTCATGTGCAAGTTCGGTACTAGTCCCTCTAGGATTTTCCAGGTGTATATAATCATGTATCTCTCCCGCTTGCATTCCAGGGAATACAGGTTCAAGAGCTTCAAGCACTCCCAGTAATTGAGGTGTTTTAACTCCGTTATGAGCGCTGTGAAGGCTCTCTGTACATTTTCTAGGTCGGCAATTTCACCTGCCTTGAAAGGTGCTGTTAGTGTGCAGCAATATTCCAGCCTAGATAGAACAAGTGACCTGAAGAGTGTCATCATGGGCTTGGCCTCCCTAGTTTTGAAGGCTCTCATTATCCATCCTGTCATTTTTCTAGCAGATGCGATTGATACAATGTTATGGTCCTTGAAGGTGAGATCCTCTGGCATGATCACCCCCAGGTCTTTGACGTTAATTTTTCGCTCTATTTTGTGGCTGGAATTTGTTTTATACTCTGATGAAGTGAAGGCCAAGTTAGCCTGCAGTTACATTTGTTCTGACCTCCAGCACGTCTTTATGAACGTTTTTCAATGTTCCAGCATGCCATTGTTTTTCCTGCATTGAGAAAGTTTGGTTTGATAAGACAGTAAGATAGAGATAGAGTAGAGTAGTTTTTGGTCTACCACCATCGCCCACATATCTCTCCATGCTTGTACATTGTACACTACTGCTCACAGACCAGATAAAGAAGGAAGACCTTCTGAGTGCCGACGACAAAGCCGCAGGCTCTGCGAGTCGTCAGAGCACAAATTCATCCTCAGAAGTCAACTGTCACGATGCTGTGTAACTACATCAACTTTCTTTCACCTCTACACTAGGATTATTTCTGACCTTCAGCAACAGTGTTTCACTTTATAGACAGTTAATTGTCACTTGTAAGCCTGCATTAAGATTTTAAATGGCTCAGAGTGTATTTCAGTGTAGTGACTCTTACATTTATTAACTCTGTAATAAATGTTCTGCTCAGTGTAAACAACTATTAAATGCGGTTACACAATCAAGTTGCTTGTCCTAGTGTCATTGCTATTTCCATTGTCATTTTTACAGACTATTGCATTTTTGCTGTAAACAGGCTTACTCCTGCATGATATTATTTCATGAATACTTTGAGTAATTCGGCCATACATGGTAACGTGTGCGAGATTGTTTGGGTACTGGTTCATTTACGTACCTCATGCTTGCATACATACATGCATGTATAGTAATGCGTGTTACCCAGGATGGACCAAGGAAGTCGGGCAGAGTGACTTACCTCACTGTCATTGCAATATAGCAGGTTTATTTGTTCTCGTGTTAATGTGCCATGGAAAGCTCATATTACATACTTACAATCATTCTGTTCTAATGTAACCCATATATTGCATGTACACTCCTGG